CTAATTGGACTTGTTCGGATTCGTAGCCTTTTCAGCTCGAGTTATTAAGCCTGTAGGGGTGTCTCTACACCTAGTGCCCTAAAACCGTCTGGTTTGGGAGTCATTGGCCCAATACTTGCTACATGGGTTAATTAGAAAGCTTAAGGGACCTAGACATTGCACAGTTAAGGGGGGAAAAAAAAAAGAGAATGACTTCTTTAGATTCGTAGCTTTTTCAACTCGAGTTATTAAGCCCGTAGGAGTGTCTTCACACCTAGTGCCCTAAAAACCGTCTGGTTTGGGAGTTATTGCCTAATGTTTGTTACATGGGTTGATTAGAAAGCTTAATGGATCAGGACATTGCACAGTCATAAAAAAAATTAAAATTAAAATTAAAATAAAATAAAAAAATTAAAATAAAAAATTTGAGAATCTTGGCTGCAACAGTTTAGTTCTTCTATATATGTTGGGTGCTATTATGAGTTACACTGGGTTATTATAGTGAACAGTTAACTAGTATGGAGATTGCACTTCACACTGAGGATACTGATGATGTGTCTACTAGCATACACAAGTACATGGGACTTTACTTTTGCATTAACTGAATTGTGATTTTGACTCAATAGATTCCTTCATGCTTATCTACTGTGCCTTCAATAACGCATCATGTCTTAATATCACACTGTAGTGGCACATAAGTTGATTGTTAGGTAGAGTAGTGTGGTTAATTGTTGTTGAGCGGATATGAATATGTTGATGTTTGTGGGTATCATTTATGAAAACCTCACGAGACTATACTCGTCCACTTGGGATAACCTTGTGGTTTAAAGGCTTGTTGCATATGCTAACTGCAATCATGATCCCTACGAAAGTGGCTTAGAGTTATTTTACTTTTCTTATTTCTTTTGTTTTGCTTGAGGACTAGCAAAATATAAGTTAGGGGATGTGATATAGACTGAAAGATACCACATTGAGGCCACTTAAGTTACATTTTTAGTCTTTCAATTTTGTTTATTTGGTGGAGATGATGTGTTTCGTGCAACTGTACAGATTTGGCACGAAATACATAAATTCAATCAAAAAGGGGCACGAAAGCAGATCCTCCGTGCGAGAAGTGAAAAATCCGAGCCAGCCAGACCATCGCCAATGCAGCAAAGCTTCACGTGCCCACCACTGCTCAAGCGACCCACATAGGTGCTTGAGCGGCCCACCTAGGGACACATGCACAGATTTTTGGGTGTGTTTTGTTGATAATAAAAGGGAAAAAAAATAGGCTAACCTAGGGTTCGAAAAATTATTTTCAAGGAAAGAAAGACTACAGTTTTAAGGAGGTGATTTTTTCTCAAGCTGAAGGAACAACTTCCATGGGGGCTTCCTCCTCATCCTCTTCCTCTTCTCACTTCTCCATGAGTGGTCAGTCTTCTTTTCTAGGATTTTGATGAAACCCTAGCCATGCAATAGGATTTTTCATAAGTTTTGATTGTGAATCGATTTGAATCAATGTATGGCTGATTTAGAAGTTTTTAATCATTGTTCTTTTCATCTCTTCAAGTATTTCATTCTCAGTGATTGTTTAATGTTTTCCATACATTAGTTTTCTTTGTGTTTGTATTCAAAGTACGAGACGAGTCATGCTACCATAGTTTAGAGCAAACACCTCGTGCTACTCGGGATGATTCGTGCCTATACATTGAATGCAATGACTCTCTTGATCAATATTTCAAACTTGTAGTTGTGAAATATTGGGTATTTCAAATCGGATTACAATTATTGGCTAATGTTTAATCTTGTTTATATGGTTAGTGATGAATTCTTTACCCTAGGATTTTTTCCAAAAATCAATACCTCAAACCCTAATTTGAATTGTCAATTTAATTTCTCAATTTCATTTAATTCCTGATTAGTCATAAAATCTCTAAATCTTTTTAATCAAAATTAATTTAGGAATTTAGCAATTAAATTAGTCTAATTTCACAATTGTCCCTGTGAATCGATACTTGAACTTGCCATTATTCTAAAAGAATTTCGTATAGTTTAGTGTTTATTTTGGTGTGTGAAACGAACCATCACATTCACTTAGTGAAAACACATCAAAGTTAATCAAGATGACATAGTAGACTTGTCTTTGAACTAGCGATCTTATACGATTAACCGGATATGTCTCACACACAAATTTTCTTCTCTTTAGGTAATTCAAAAAGCCGACACGTGGATTGACCTTGTGTTTATATCCTGTTTCATGAGCGCTCTAAAGTCAAGCCCTTGGACTCATAGGAAGTGGAACCACCTCCTACACTTATATAGGTAAGTTTACCGAGAGTACCCATGTAACTAAAGTACCCTAACTCACCGTTGTAAACTTATGAAGAGCTAAGTAGCTCAACCTCTTCTTTTGCATTGCAGGTCCCAAGTACTTTATACTTTGGGATGGTTATAAAAATAAAAATTTAAAGTGTTTACAATCACAGTATATGGTGTATTTGGGCTCATTGAACTCAAGACTTGATATTTCTTCAAGCATTAAGTCAAGTTTCCACCAGGAGTGATATAATACTTGGGCTTAAGACCTATCCCCTTTGATGATCTCACATCAAATCCCTTGCCATTATTTCTTAAGATAATTTACAGTCACGTGGACACAATTCTTACATAGCTATGTATTACCACAGTTTATGACACGATCAACATGTCCAGACTAACAGTGACTGTCATAACTATCAACTCATATTAATAATGAGTTTACATAAAAAATCAAAAATCAAAAAAATAAAATAAAATTGTGAATGTGTGAATTTTTTTCTTAAGTGCAAGTCTTGATACTCCAAGCAAGCACACTGAAGACTTGCATCTAAAAAGATTTCCATCCCTTCATAAATGTTTACCTTATTTTTTAGGAAAAATTAGTCTAAGGTTTCTCTCCCATTTTTAATAATGGAAGAGATACACAATATTATTTTATGATGTCTAAGGTCCCTCAACTTCATACTCACATGTCACAGAGAAATTTGAGTGTAGCAAATCAAATCTCATTTATCTCTCTTACACACACACTCTAAACTCTCTCTCTCTCTCTCTCTCTCTCTCTCTCTCTGACCATTTAGCCTTCTCATTGCTTTTTCCATTTGATGAGAACAATGAGAATAAAGCAAAAAGGAAATAAAAAAGAAAGCATTATGAAGTTCCTTGAACGACTCTCTACCAAATTAGAATTTAAAACAGGTGATCGTTACCCATAAAAACTCTCTGATCAATTAGTGCATCAGAATGAATAGCATATTATCTAAAGGACAATTAATACTAGGGACATAGATTTAGCAAAGAAGGTGTTTGATAAAATGCCAAAGAGAGAATTTTTGTCTAGAGAAATTTGCCGTGGGTGATATGTAAAATTTCTCTGTGATGTGTCCAGAGAAATTTGGAATTTTCTCTGCGATTCGTCCAGAGAAATTTGGAATCACAGAGAAATTTGGAATTTTCTCTATGATGTGTCCAGAGAAATTTGAAATTTTTTTTGCGATTTGTCCAGAGAAATTCTTTGGATCTAATTTTCTCTAGATTGAATTTTCTCTAAATCAATGTTGAGGGACCTTAGACATTATGAAAATATTGAGCGTCTTTTATGCTATAAAATCTTAATATTAGGGATCTTTAAAAAAATTCCCTATTTTTTATTGTCATGATAGAATAATAGAGGGAAAATTACAAACAAAAAAAAAACCCAAGGTTTAATGCCTTTTTTTTCAAATTAAACCCCACGTTTCCAATTTTGACAATTTGTACTCCACTATTCTACTTGTGTTACAATCAGATCCCCCCACCCATCTCCGTCTCTATTAGTTAACAGAAGACTGATTTAGGCGCTAAAATTACCATAATTTTCATGATTTAGGGCAAAAGACAAACAAAATAAAGACTCTTGCAATCTGTTGCTTCTTCATCACCCATTTTCTGTTAAAATCATCCCACAAACAAAGATTCATCACCGTTACAACATATATTCATCATCGTCATCATTATCATCAACAACAACAAAAAAAACCCTAATCAACAACGACAAACTATAAAGGTGAGACGCATTTTAGTAGAAAACACCATAAACATAAACATGTATATATGGTGCTTACCATCTATGAACCCCAGTCCAAAAGGTTAAGATCTGTATATATATAAGATAATTGTTACCATGAGTTCCACTAATGGCACTGCAGGAAATTCAGCTTTTAGCGGCGTTTAAAAAACGCCGCGATAAGTGTCAAAAACGCCACTATTTCTTTTTGTGACGCTTTGCACCAAACGTCGAGGACGCGGCCGTCGCTATAGCATTGTGGCGCCTTAAAAACGTCGTTAATTTGTTATAGGCGGCGTTTTGAAAAACGCCTCTAAATGTGATACATAAACCAAAGTGACGTCATGACAATTTTTAGCGGCACTTAAGAAACGTCGTTAATTTGTTATAGGCGACGCTTTTTAAAAAACGCCTCTGAATGTTATACATAACTACAAAACGACGTCTGACAACTTTTAGCGACGTTTCAAAAACGTTGTCATAGCCTTTTTTTTAATTTTAAAAAACTAACCGTTAAGTGTGGGGTTTTGAAAAATGCCATCTTTATGTTTTTGATTGTTTTTTTTTTTAAATTATGCTAATTTTATGTGGTTAAACTAAAAAAATACATGTAATAAAATTAAAAAGTAACACTAACATAAAACAATAACTCCTATTTCCATTCAAATGAACATTTGTCAAAAAGAGCCGATTATACGAAAAGCTGTCAATTAGCAAATATATCATTAATTCACTTTCCCATTCAATTTAATATCCAATCACCATTAACTAAAAAATAACATATCCACAAATCATGTTTTAACATTTGTCAAAAAATAATAGGAAAAACATCAAGACAAACCCCATGAGTTATGATTTAATTTAATGTCTTGTCTTTATTACTAAATTCACTGAACTCAACTGATATAGCATAGAATCTGTAGGCGTCACTGGTTTAGATACCTGCATCAGAACATGGAAGCCAAATCAATAAATCAATAACTGTAGAAGTGTTAAACATAAGATCTACATTACAACTCACCATCTGTTGAAGAATGTTTTGTACCTGGAAAACAATTTAAACAAATCAGTCATTTCTGAGGCTTTGAAATAGCAGAAAAAGGCAGAAAAATAATTTATTTCTAGGCATTAACTAGAAATAAGCTATCAACCAATTCATTTTATTCTTCAGCATATACTTCTGAAGCCATGAACTCTGGTGTCCCTAATTAATCCCAAAAAATAGATAAAAACTAACTCAATGATTTCTCTTAATTGTGTCAATCAACCAATCACTCATACAGAAAGTTACATATCATCACAAAAAGTCATTTTACAACAGATAAAAAGTCATTCTTGTGTCTAATTACAAGAATGAAATGAAACATATCTGGAAAACTCACATTAATATTCCTACTCACATATTCCCTTGCCATGGTTTTTGTGAGGCCAAGTACCCCTGCCTTTGCAGCATTATAATTGGCGTGCCCAACGTTACCAACAAGACCAACAATTGATGCTATGTTGATTATCCTTCCCTGCCACATCAGCAATTAAGATAAATGGGAGATTGAAAAGCAAAAAGATAATAAATAGCTACCAAATAATTGAAATTTTTTTTCTCAATTGTTTCTCAAAATATCAAATTTCTTTCTCAATTGTAAGCAACTTGTGATGCATTATGAAAGAGCATGAAATGAGGAGAGAATTGAAATATTTTTCCAAAAACTATTTCTGCTGCAAATTTGAGAAACAAACTTTCAAGTGGAAATGCATCAAAATTCGAACTGTTGGGTTAATTATATCCAAATTTTATTAATTATTGGTGAATATCGACTTATTCCCTACATGAATGAACATGTATATTTTAATTAGTTTAACTATGAAAATGTAAGAAAAATACTTTCACACTCAAAAACCACCTTTAGAATAGGGCATTAGTATAATTTTTATAGATGAGAAAGGGTCAATACATATAAGCAGCTGATAATGCAAAGACAAACAACGAAGTATTTTGCTTGCTTGCCCTGCTGCAATGTTGCTAAAGTGGCACACGCTCTAAAGACTGATGCAAAGGTGTACTGATCTGGTGTCAAACCACTCTGTCTCATCTTATAATAAAGACTCAATCCCATTTCTACAAGACCATTTTTCTACAAGATCATGTTCAACAGTTACTTCATTAAATCAGAAACAGTTAAACCCACACATTCATCTGCCCCTTTTTCTCCTACAACTCCAACTGATCCAAAATGAGTTATTTGTAGTTCATAAACAATAACGAAGTTCTCAAATTTCAACATTCCACCAACTATATATATATACAAGTCACAATAACAATCTACATCAACTTGGAAATCCAATCAATATGTTGTTCAAAGTGAGCAATTTATTTTGTCAGATTTTTCATCTTGTGTTTGATGAAAAGGAGATGACCCTTCGTCTGAGCCAGGGCAAAAAAAAGGATGATTATTCAATCAATACATATATAAATTCATATATATACTTGTATAGAGAGATTTTTAAGAGAAAAAAAAAATTATCCAAAAAAAAATACAGATAATGTGTACGCATATAACGAGATTGTGCGAGAGAGACAGAGATCGAGAGAGATTGAGAGATCGAGAGAGAGAAGAATCGATAAAACTGAGATTGGAAGACCAACCTTCAGACGGCGCTGATCTTGCACAACCTGTTTAGCACGGGCCCTAACCTCATATGGATCAATCTTGGATTGGGGCTAACTAGAGCATATACAACTCATCAATCACTGAAACGGAGAGAGAGACGGGAAGGAAGAGCTTCAGAGAGAGAGAAAGAGAGACGGTGGAGCTCACCTTAGGAGACGATGGTGTAGATGATGATGTAGACGATGGTGCAGATGGTGGAGACCGATCTGAATCTCTGAATCTCTGCGATGAAATCACTGAGATGAAATCGCTCTGAATCTTTGTGATGAAATCACTGAGATGAATCTCTGAATGGCTCTGATAAGGGTTTAGAGAGAGTTGAGAGAGAGATTTAGAGAGAGAAAGAGAGACAGTGGTGGAGCTTCGAAATCGTTCTGAGATTTAGAGAGAGAGAGAGAGAGAGAGAGAGAAAAGTTGGGTCTGAGATTCAAAATTAGGCTTTGAAAAGAGGAGACCAAGCGCGTGAGGCACAACACATTCGGAGGCGTTTCAAACGCCTCCTATTATTAAACGATGTCGTTTTGTTGAACAAATATGCGACGCTTTAAAAAACGTCGTTAAATGTTAAAAAAAAGTGACGTTTAAAAATGCGTCGTTAAAAAAACGCCGCCTAAACCTCTTTTTCCTGTAGTG